ATAAGTGATTTGGTTTTTTAAGGTCATATGTCATCAAACCTTGATGTCCAAGAACAGACGTTCCTTTTTGCTGTCCTAATTACTTTGAGTCATTAATGTGGGTTTCGTACATAAGCGAACACAAACAGGCACATACACATACAAAGGCAGACACACTCACAGGCCTCGAAGTTGACATATGACCTTAACTAATCAAATCACTTATACTTGATACAAGAGGCCAGATTTAGAGTATATATACCACTTTTTAGAGATGTGCCGGTGAACTTTCTTGACTAGATAGCTTGAATTTGGTTGTGACGATGATACCTTGCTCTGATGATGTTCGTCATATGACGGACGAAAGCTTATCTTTTCACCGAAATCGAAAGAGATTGCCTCGGAAACAGCGTCAGCATGAATGCTCCAGTACAGCCAATCGACTGGGGGTCAAGAGGAATCGGCCGTCGTCTTCTGGTGGAATCGACCTTCGAATCTCTTCACCCGACACTTCCACTCGAAATGGAAGTAAGCTCAACAACTGTCATGAATACTATAGCATCTGGCACAGGACTGGGTAGATTTCACAAATGTTAGGGGGACCTTCATTTCAAACGAAAGTGTATGAAGAAGAGATTCGTTGGTCGATCTCACCAGATGAGGATGAATGAAACTCGTTGTACTGCAGCTTATGTTGACGCAGTCCACGAGATTTCCTCACTCGTTTAGGATGAAAACAGGCTGAACTTTCATCCATCATATCATGGACATCATCAGAGCAGGATGTTATTCTTGTAAAAGTTTCACGTTAATACTAGTCCGAGAACAGTATCCGGCTCTATGTTACTTCTTAAATAGACTCAGTCGAGTCAAAAGATTAAAAATAAAAAATCAGGATAGATTTTACAAAGTCTGCCTGTCGCTCTGACCAAGTTGGGGAGACGATGTCAAACCAGCATCATACACCAAAACTTGCTTCAACATTGTAGGATAAAGCGATCGTTTACTTTTGTAAGAAAACAGATGCGGCTACATTCACATGATCTTTCCACGCCGACTTTATCTATTTTCAAGCATGCAGGGTAGGGATAAAGTATCCAGCAGAATAATGGGATTGTAGGATGACTTTATATTTCGCAGAAAATTCGTAAATTAGTCTCATCGAAGGTATGGAGACCTTGCTTAATTCACCTGGATCTCTCCGGATAACGGAGGGTGTGTTGGATGAAGTCATTTCGTTTTACGTTTAATTATCACTCGTATTATCAATGCAAAAAAACTAAGATGAATAGCTTGTTAGGGGGACCTTCATTTCGAATGAAAGTGCACGAAAAAGAGATTTGTTGGTTAATCTCACCAGATGAGGACGGATGAAACTCGAAATGAAGATCCCCCTAACAATATTGTGTCAGGAGATTCCTCGAAACCAACCTTATCTTCGTATCTACAATGAATGGCTTGCTTTGCTTCTCCAGTCGGCTGATTGGGAAAACTCTGTTGACTTTTCGAATTAAGTATTGTTTTTCGTGACTACCAGTAAATCAGTTATAAGATGTATTCACCCAATTTCGTATCGAATTAAGTATTGTTTTTCGTGACTACCAGTAAATCAGTTATAAGATGTATTCACCCAATTTCGTTTAGGTATTGTTTTTCGTGACTACCAGTAAATCAGTTATAAGATGTATTCACCCAATTTCGTTTAAGGTGATGAATGACTGGTAGAAATAGAATTCTCCCACAAATGATATGAGTTACTGACGTTTCCATTTGAATATTTACATAGCTTTGCATTCCCTAAAGTTTTTCTTATACAGGATGAGACTGCAGTTTCGACCTCGCATTAGTCTTATCAGCACCCTCAGCGTGTCAAGCTACCGTCCTGCACTGTCGCGGTTCGAGTCCCGCTGAGGGTGTTGATAAGACCAATGCGAGGACGAAACTGCAGTCTCATCCTGGATGAGAAAAACTTTTGAGAATGCAAAGCTATGTAAATATTCAAATGGAAACGTCAGTCCAACTCATATTATTTGTGGGATAATTCTACTTCTACCAGTCCTTCATCACCTCAAACGAAATTGGGTGAATACATTTCACACTACTGATTTACTGGTAGTCACGAAAAACAATACTCAATTCGAAAAATAAAGTATTGTAGTCGATTGTTATAGCAAACATACGTTTGCTTCATCGACAATCCCACC